CCTGGTATGAGTGCCGGGTCATGTGACCTCCACCATGAGCACCCGGACCCCTCCACACCTCCATGTCCTAAGAACGATTCCCGTTATATGATGATGATCACATGACATATAATAACGGTCTATAAACCCAAAAAGTTTGATGGTATCAAAATACATGTTTGGAACGTGTGAGGTAGTATGGAGCTGCGCCTAAGGGGGCTGGTGCAAACCTGGGCGATCCAGGGGCCCGGGGCGAGCGTGTGCAGTTGCACACAGTGGTTGCCTGATTTTCAATGGGGTTTTATCCACACGGCGATCACAGGAAAAAAAAAGGTACATGTACCTTTTAGTGCGACACGCGACGCGCGGCTATTTTTAACCGGGATCTCTTCGATTGCACGGGTGGAATCGCGGCGGGAAGCCGCGCGATTCGCCCAGCGCGACTGGGGCGCCTTTAGAAAAAGGCGACTCCGTGACGGCACAGCTTTGTTACAACAAAGTCATTGTCCGTGTTGTATTTGTCTGCCATGTGTATTCTCTTCGAGTAATCAATACGAGTGATCGCGGTGAGGCCGGGATCTCTAGCACAACACGAAGGTGACCACAGGGGGGCCCATGTGCTTCTCCATTTCTAGGTCACACCCAATTAGAGGCTCTTTGGCTCTCTAATCTCCATCTTAAAGCACACATCCACCTTTTTTAAGGTTTGGGGTGTAACAAGGTAATGTTGGGTTCTTCATCTGAATTTTTCTCTGGTGGGGAGCTCAGGTCCTACTTCAGAGCTTCAGTTCCTGGCCACTCTATGAAATATGTGCTGCCTCCAGCGGCTATATGGGCAATGCAATTCCCTTTAGTGTTTATTTACTGCTGCCCCCTTGTGGTCATTGTTTTTGTCACACTTACCTTTCTGTATATCCTCCCCTTTTGTATAATGTCATTTCCTCATTGCCAATTTCTCTTCCGTTCATTGAAGGGCGCAGCCAATCAGAAGATCTTGACAGTTGGATTATATTTTAAGAGTAGGGCGCTGGTTAGGGATGCACCGATACCAATACCGGTGCCGATACTGAGTATTTGGGTGTGTGCAATACCTCGCTGCCTAGCCCGATACCCAAACCTCCGGTATCAGGAAGCCGGGCAGCATGTAACAACTTGCCGCCTAGCTTCCTAATTGGTCGGGAAGCCGGACATCGAGGAAGCCTGACAGCGAGTCATTGCTCTTGGCCCCCCTGGCTTCCTGATTGGCTAGAAAGCCGGCTTAGTGCTCCCTCGTCACTTCATGACAAGGGGGCATGGAGCCAGCTTCCCGGCCCATCAGGAAGGCGGGCGCCATGTAATCACCTGCCGCCTGGCTTCCTGATTGGTCAAGAAGTTGGCCAATCAGGAAGCCAGGCGAAGTCATTACCCTCCCCCGGGCTTCCTGATTGGAAAT